GGGGGGGGGGGGTTCCATAACTGGAAATATCATACAGCTGAGCTACTAGGTGCTCAAGAAATTAATTCTGTGAATGATTACTCAAAAATAGAAAATAATGTGGCAGGCATTAATGGATTAACAGGATAATTAAAACATGGCATAGTAATCAATAGCTAAAAGAATCACCTGCTTTTATATAACCCAACGGTAACCCATTCACAAAACGCTGCAATCTCAGAACCCATTTTAATATTATCTACACTTACATAATTTCTCAAGTAGTGGTTTTAAAGAAGGAATTAAGAGGGTTCTCAAACAAATGTCTTTTTAATTCTTTTGCCCCCTCCATCTTACCTACTGTCTCACTCACCACCTTAAAATTTCACTACCCTAAATGTGCAACTTTGACATTTTAATAAATTCCTAATTTTGTAATATCCTGAACTGCTCACTTAATTTCTCTCAGCTACAAAAATGTTCCAGAAATTATTTATTCTCAAGGTTTCACAAAATCTCAAATTCAATTTACAGAATAAATAAAACTGTTCATATTCTATAAAACAATTTATTTCAGAATAATGCCTATATCAGGGGTATTCAACTTTTACCACACCTGTGGAAACATTCGCCCTTTGTTGTTAACTCACAGGCTGCAAGGTTATAAATGAGGTCATTGTATCGAAAAGTGAATGCAGTTATCTGCTAATCTTTCAAAATGAGGTCTATTTTATTTTGTTACAATTCACATGCACCTCCAAGTGTCTGTCAGTAATCCTAGTTCTTGCTTTGCCTTTCTTCATTAAGCCAAACAGTTGCTCATGGCAATAGTTACTGCCACATACTGACCAAACTTCTTCAATCTTTGAGGGGGTACTTGCCTGAAGGAATTAAGGAAAGTCACTAAAAATCTCGGAATAACTGGACTTGGGAACGGATTTTACCCCAGGATCGCTACTATATAAAGCGGCAGTGATGATCATTCAGCTATTGAGTGTGTAAGGTTGCTTATCCACAAGATAACAACAACTGATATTTCATGGGTACCGAGATGGCATAAGGACTGGTTATGAGAGGGGAAAAAAACAACAGACAGTTCACAGGTATGTGAGACTGTCGATTTAGAGTTGTATTCAAATAAACACACGCATATTTGATGTATCATGTGAAGATCACATTCATATCATTGATTTACAGTGAATCTTTATTTGTGCTTACTTTCAGATTACTTGAAGCGGATCTCTATCAATCTGAGACACGACCACCTCAACATTTCCCCCAGACAGGTCCATGGACAGCTTCTCAGCAAACACTTTGAGGAAACCTCGCTCTGTGTTGCTGTGATCACAAAGGATTACATGGGTTCCTCTGTGTACAGCATCCAGAATATCATGATGCTGCATCTCGCCTGTCAGATAAAGATCGGCTTTCGCGCCCCTCAAGACTGATGATCCAGATCCAGCACAAAGGGCGACAGTAGAGACAGGAGATTCTGTAACAAAATCAGCTGAGAAACACAGCACTAAAAACAATGCAATAACAGGTATGAAGAATGTTCGCAACATTTTCGGAAAGAAATAAACCATTCGACAGACCTCAACATAGATGGGAGGATAGTATTAAAATTGATCTTAGAAACATTTGGTATTATGGACTGGATTAAACTGGTTCTGTTCCAAAAGCAACTTTGGAGATAAAACTTTATGTTCGCAAAGCAGAGAACACTGTGACCAGCTGAGTAACTAGCAGCTACTTAAAGAAGCAAAAATAGGCTGAACTACAGACCAATTCATGGTGCTAGTAATTACATAAGGCAGTGGACTCAATATATGGAGATAATGACAGATGAAAAATCATTAAACTTGCCTAAAACTATAAAACACAATGACACAAAGATGTTGGTAGACCAAAGAAGAGATGGTCTGACCCAATGAAATGGAGCCACCATACATTGAACTACTCATTAATACATGAAGACAGTAACACAAATGTCTGAACATCTGAAAATAATGACAGACGACAAAGTCCTTAAATTTTCTGAAACTGCGAACCACGATCAGGGAAGAAGGAAAGAAAGGGAAAAAAACGTGATTAGGAAAAGAGGATGTAAACAGAGCAAGCTAAACTAGGTAGGTAGCTGAACATTTACATACTCAATTAAATGGTACTCTGCCTGTCGTTGGGGCTACATTTAAATCACAGCAATAATAGCCACATGCTCCTTTCAAAATTTCTCAGAGACATGGTACGATTGTTTGGACAGAGCGGTCTACCACATTTCAGAGACCATGTCAGTCTTCAAGGGACTAAGTTATACAGACAGCAACACTACTATGCACTAAATATTTCATGAAAAATGTTCATGTACAGACTAAAAGAGCACTTCTTACCCATGTGTTTATGTCTTGCCAATGCCAGCCTAATTTTCAGTAAATTAAGACGCTTCTTCACAAGCTCCACTACTGTCATCACTGGCAAAGGTATCTTCAGGTAACATAATCGACCCATACCAGCACCACGAGGTGAAACCTGTAATGACAACATTAACAATAAGATTTGACTCTCTGAAGAAAAAGATCAACTCCATAGTATTTAAAGATTAAGTCCATACCCCCAAAAAAGAATATTAACACTTGATCATTCCAAAGATCAACTAGTTGTCGCTGTTTAGGAATATAATATCCGTTCACTCTGAGAAGGATTTGAAACAAATAAATATATTATGTGGCAAAATGCATAGTCACTGATTATTAAAGCAGTTGGTAGATACAGTTAGCACTAGACTTTCATGGGTTAATATTAGAAATACTAACACAAGCATATCTACAACTTATTTATATTTCTGCACTAGAGTCTGAAGTCTGTTAAAAATATTAACGTTAGTCTATAAATAAACAATTCTCTGGTAACAGAAATCTAGATAAAACACAACTCTCTCAAAGCTCAACAACGAACACTATCCTCATCCAGCTTAAATCCTCACAATACACTACAATAACACTTCACTGTATTCAGGCACCATAAAATTTTAATATCTTATAAACCTCGGATTTGCACACCAGAGATACAAGAACTGGAACATATACTAATTAGGTAGAAAGGACTTACACCTTCATATTTTAAAACTCTGAAATGCTCT